ATCGGAATCAATATGTAGATCCACACAAATGGATTCCAGTTGAACGACGCTGAAAGAGAATCGATTTAGTCATTAGTAAGATCGCACCAGGACTTCTTGTTTGTATACCACACAGTAGGAATGAGTTCGCACGCCCTTACTATCCGTATCACAAACGACGCAAGGTGGATCACAGGAGCGGCCCCTACCATTTTTTAATATACATATATATATATGTATATATATATATATATATGTATACGTATATGCACATGCGTACGTGCATCTGTAAGTGGAGAGGAGGAGAGAGAGAGAGAGAGAGAAATCTGGAAGCGCGTTCGTATATATGTATATATATGCACAATATAGTACTATGACCCTGCATCCGTGCAGATATACAGACATCCATTTACGTGTACACATAAACAATTTGCGGTGCACATCTGTGGATGTATAAATATATATGTATATATATATATATAGAGAGGGAGAGAGAGAGAGAGAGAGAGAGCGGGAGAGAGAGAGAGAAAAGGAGAGAGAAAGAGAGAGAGAGAGAGAAACAAAACATAAAGAGAGAGAGAGAGAGAGACATAGCGAGAACCAAAGAGGACAAACAAAAACATATAGAGATTCTGAACGACGGTGAGATGGATAAGAGGGGTCGCGCGACTACAATCGACGATGACCTGCGAAAGAGGAAACGAGCTCTTATTTGGGCACCGGTACTGGACGAGCCCTCTCCTGGGGTGCGCTCGGACAAGGACGTCGAAAAAGGGCTTCAGCCGTGGCGGCGACACGCAGTAACCCAAGAGGGTCCACGAGGGCGAAATAACAAAAGAAGAGCAGCGCTACTGGCCTCGCGTTATCCTTTTCGGCGGCGAGCGACGGGGGGGAAATGAGAAAGAAAAGGCCTGCTCGGAAGGCGGCGGGACTTCTCGGAAACCCTCGCGCCCTCTGAGAAGTTTTTTGGTGTCTTCGGGGAGAGCTGGGAAAACTTCTCGGAAGGCCAGGGGACTTCCGAACCTTCTCACTTCCCCCCCTCGCTCGCCGCCGACCTTTGAACAAAAAAGAGCATGACGCAATCTGGGTCCTGCAGGAAATGGGTCCTGGACCCCAGGGCCACCCCCTAAGACCAACGATTCGTCTTGAATCATGATTTGGCTGCCTTGGGGCCATTGGTTGAGCCCGGGAACATCCCGAACGCTGTAGCACGATCGGCCCGCGAACTCGGGAAGGAATATAGCCATGTGCATCATGGGCACGCTGTCAAGACACCTGACTGGGCGACAGGTAATTGCAATGCTGGAAAAATTGATGGTGGTGTACTGTGCCAAAGGCTTGGCTGTGTTGTGCCGTGCTGAATTGAGCTGCGTCATGCCAAATTGTACCGAGCTGTGCTCTGTGACCTTGTGGACCAAGCCTCCCTTGGCATCCGAATTCTGACCAAAGTGATCTGGATCTTGAGCTCGAGCTGCCTGACGTCATGGCTATCTCAGAGCTTGTTGCAACTGAAACATGCGAGGCGCTCAACCAGCTCGAACTCGAAATCTGATTCAACAGGGGGCGAACCCGAACCGAAGCGAAACGCACAGAAAAAAGACGGACCAGAACGCAGAGAACCGAGACGCGACGAACTGAAACAGGAAGAACCTAAATAATTTGAACAAAGACGACGGCCGAACCAAGACTAACCCAGTCGAGGCAAAACGAACCAAAACTGGGACGAGCTGAATCTGTGTCGGTTCACCCTTCTGAAACCACATGGCGCCTCCTGCCGAACTTTGGCCAAGACCGCTCATACATTTCCAAGGGTGGGTTCCTCGAAGGCCGCAATTATAGTGCAAATTGCGATTCATCTATGCTGTGCTAAACTCTGCTGCGTCATGCTGTGTTGAACTGTGCCGTGTTCCATTGCGTTGCGCTGCCTGACCGCATCGCTCACCCAGCACTGGTTGGAAGCGAAACGTGCGGGGCGCTCAACCAGCTCGAGTTCGAAATCCGATTCATTTCAGGAGCGGGACGGAACAGCAAGGGGGCGAGCCCGCACCGAGGCGAGACTGCGGACCGATACGCGACGAACCGAGACAAGAAGACGCGACCCGAATCGATTTGAAACAAAACGACCCGAGACTGAGACGAAGTGAATACGTGTCAGCTCACCCCCCTGAAACCACATGGCGCCACCACAATCAAAACAACATCTCGAAAACCGAGACCCATCGTAAATTGCAAAAAAGGGTGCACCCAACAGGACGAGAGCCTGGCGCAAATTGCGATTCATCCGTGCTGTGAGGAACTGAGCTGCGTCATACTGTGTTGAACTGTACCATGTTCCATTGCGATGTGAGCCAAGTGATTCTTGACATCCGAATCCTGACCGAACTGATCTGGATCTTAAGCTCAAGCTGCCTGAACGCATAGCTCCCCCTGAGCTGGTTGTAATCGAAACGTTCGCGGCACCCAACCAAACGAACTCAACATCATATTCAGTTCCGCAGCGGAGCAAACCCACAGGAGGGGGGGGGCCGGATCGAAGCGAACCACACAAAATGGACGGAGCCAAACACGGCGATCGGCGACGCGACTAACTGAAACACAACTCGGCGACGAGCAAAGGGGGGAAGTGAGAAGGAGAAGGCCGTCTCAGAAAGCGGCAGGCGAAACGAACCCGGATAAAAGAATGTGGAGTCAGCTCACGCGCGATAAGAAGCCATGTTTATAACATTGTTGTCAACGCACGGACGAAAGAGACCCATGTAAAAAACGCGAAGTGTCAGCTCACCGGCGAACGGAATCCATGTACAAATAAATGGTCTCAACCCGCTGGCGAAAGGAAGCCCCGTAAAAAAACGTGGGTCAACTCATGGACGAACGTCAACTCACGGGCAAGGCGGAACCATGTAGAAAGACTCGGTTTGAGATCATCCGTCTCCTCCTCCTCGCAGACGAGGTCCCCTGCTTAAAACTTCCTCGCAGTTCACCCTCTGACGAGGCTCTCGCTCGAGACATCTTCGAAATCTGTTCAGGCATAAAACTCGACGCCCACATGTTAGATATCTCCTCTGGGCGGCCTAGACACGTGAAAACACGTGCCACATGCACGGGTGCCAAAGGCATGTAGTAGACCACCTCCGCACACGTAGTTCAACGTGCGAAAAAACCGACGACCTCACTTTAGCCCGCCTGGGCGACCTAGACACGTGAAAACAAGCGTTTCGCTGAGAAATCCTCAACGGATTCTGTAGAGCAAGCGTTTCGCTCGAGACACCCCTAAACTCCGCAAAACAAGCGTTTCGCCTGAGACATCTATCCTTGACCAAGAACTAAACACCCTGGTGTATCGTGAACACCGAAACGAAAACAAATAATCCGTGGGGGCGGACTCAGCGAAGCGATATCTTCAGCACCGCACGTACCCACAACACGCAAATTATTAGGATCCCCCCCTCGACCGCTAATACTACTCGACCGCCTTCTGCTCTAATGCCTTCCTTCGACCGTAACTGAACCTCCTCACCGCCTCGCTTTCCCCCTCCGATTGTTTTTTTCCGCGCTGTCCGCTACGGTTCCGACCACAATCCCCAATGAGAAATTGATGCTCGTCGGCCGTCCTAGGGGGTGGCCCACCCCAGGGAATCGTACCCGTCCTGCATGGAGCGTTACTTGGGGGGACGCCGCACACAATGAAGTTCCGTCGGCGACTCAGCGACAGTAGCACTGAGTCGCAGTAGTCATAATAATTGTCGTAGTCGTCGTCGGCGACGTCGTCGTCGTCTTCATCTTCGTCCTCGTAATAACAAGCGTCGTAATAGTAGTCGTAGCCGTAGTCGTACCCGTAGTAGTAGTAGTAGTAGTAGTAGTAGTAGTAGTAGTAGTAGCAGTAGTAGTACCAGGAGTAGGAGTAGGAGTAGTAGTAGTAGTAGTCGTCGTCGTCGTCGTCGTCGTCGTCGTCGTCGTCGTCGTCGTCGTCGTCGTCGTAGTAGTAGTAGTAGTAGTAGTAGTAGTAGTAGTAGTAGTAGGTAGTAGTAATAGTAGTAGTAGTAATAATAGTAGTCGTCAGTAGTCGTAGTAGTAGTAGTAGTAGTAGTAGTAGTAGTAGTAGTCGTAATGGTAGTCGTAGTAGTATTAATAGTAGTAGTAGTAGTAGAAAAAGTAGTAGTAGTACTCGTAGTCGTAGTCGTAGTCGTAGTCGTAGTCGTAGTACTGGTACTCGTACTCGTCGTAGTAGTAGTAGTGGTAGAAGTAGTAGTAGTAGTAGTAGTAGTAGTAGCTGTAGTAGTAGTAGTAGTGGTAGTAGTAGTAGTAGTAGTAGTAGTAGTAGTAGTAGTAGTACAAGTAACAGTACTAGTAATAATAGTAGTGATATGAAAACAAAAAGCGTCGTCGTCGCCGTAGTAGTCGTACTGGTACTCGTACTCGTCGTAGTAATAGTAGTAGTCGTCGTCGTCGTAGTAGTAATAGCATTCGTAGTATTAGTCGCCGTAGCACAAGTAGCGGTATTAGTAAGAACAATACTCAGAATGAAGAGGTCAATAGCACTTAGTAGAAAGGATGCATGTTGGCCCAACTTTATGCTGCGCTACGCAGATCAGAGCGGGACCTCGTCACCCCTTGGGGGCTGCGAGCTGCAAACACGTCGCCACTTTCGAGGGTTGCTGGGGGCTGGAGAAGAGTGCTAAACAACGACCAAATGCCAAGGTCAAGGTGCCAAAGTAACGCATCAACGTGCTGGCTGCCTTATCGTTTCACCGGAAGGGGGGAGCGTCTTCAAGCCAGGTCAAGGTATGCCGCTAGAGACATCCTAACATGTTGACTCCGCCCACTCACCGAGTCCTGGTTTTTTGAACGAAACGAAACAACCGCTTGCGAGGCCCCAACATGGCGCCAAGGGCAAAGTTTGTGTGCTGAAAAACATAACTGGCCTGGCGCCCTTTCGGGGAACAACTCTCAGGACTCGTTCCCCTCAGGATGCGTGTGCTTCTCCGCAAAAGAGCGCGAGGGGGGGGGGGGGGGCAGATCGCGCGAGTGGGCGAGGGCGGGGGAGCGCGCGGGGAACTGCGAGCGAGGTCCTACTGGTGGAGTGCCTGCGCCAGCCCGAGCTGTCGGCATCGGCGTCAGAGCTTGGACCTGCCCCCCGACTGGCGCGCGCTGCATGAGCATGATCACTGCCCCGACAGCCAGGGTCAATCGGCATCGCATCGGGGAATCCGATCGAATCAGAATGTACGTCGGATCGCGTTCCATCAGCACGGAGTGGCTGCGCCGGGATGCTCAACAACCCCAATTAAACATCGGGCTGCATCAAATCGCCAGAGTGCCAAACTCCATTCGGATCAATCTGACAAACACGAAAATACAATCGGATTGGTAATGTCGGCTGGCAGGGCTGGATATCAGATCGGATTGGCAAGATCGAAATGGATCCTGACAACAAGTTCGCAACGATAGACACGGTTTAACCGACGATCCCATACTTCTACAACACATTCGTGTCATAGCGACGTCAGCGTCGGTTTCCGACACCGCGCGGATCGTTAACATCGAACGGTCGCGGCAATTCGATGCAGTATATTCGCCACCGTGCCTCTGGCACGAAGTGGAGTGCTGCTGCTGCTGCTGCTGCTACAGCGAGAACTGTAAGTCTCGACGGGCCCGAACCAATCTTATCCCAAACCTTCCCAACGATTTCCAGGCTGGCTCACGTGAATTCTGAGGTGTGGCCTGCGCATGAGGTGGACGCTGTACCCCCCCCCAAAAGAGATCCGACCTCCCGAACCCTCCCATGAGTCCAAGAGGGCCCCGAGTCCCCGAACGATCGCTCCAACACACCCAAGATGGCCCCAACAGGCCCCCTATGACGCTGCAAGAGACCTCTCACGGACCTCCCAAGAGAGCCCCAACAGGCAAAAATCATTGAGTTCCCGATGGCTTTTGAAGGATTTGGGCGTTCTCGCCTTTTCTGCTTTTCGACGCTCCAGGACGGCCTAAGAGGCCCCCCAAACCACCCCAAGACGGCCCAAGAGGCCTCCGAGAGGCCTCCAAGACGGCCCCAAGACGGCCTACGAGCGCCGCTCCAAGGCTGCCCCAGAGGCGCCCAAGACGGCCCAAGAGGGCCCCAAAACGGCTTAAATCGGGGCCCAAGAGAGGAGCACGAACCGAGAATCCTAGCCTTCCGCCCCAAGAGGCCTCCAGGAGGCCCCCCGAGGCGAACAAGAGGCCCCAAGAGGCACCCAAAAGGCCTCAGGAGACCCCAGGTCAGGTCAGATCGGAACCGTGCCTAGACGGCACATCGGTTGCAGTGCACGGATGCTGCATTCAAGAGCAGCCTGGAAACACATTATGAAAATCATATCGCGGTGGGGAGGTGGAAGAGGAGGGAAGGGGAGGGGAAGGGAGGGGTCGGCCTCAGAACTCGTTCCGCGGGACCTTCCTTGCCGCAGTAGGCAGGTGAGTCAACAATACACAGATCTGCTCACAGCCCGGCGCCATGCATCGCCATAAAGACCAGCCTGCCCGCGGGATTGTTGGATGGTCAAAAGAAGCGCCAGGAAGCGCTAAACCGGCCCCCAAGATGCATCAAGACTGCCTCCAAGGCCCCCGAGAGGCCCCCCACGAGATCCGAACGAACATCAAATAGGCTTGATACCCACGATCAAGGCATGGTGGCGGGATGGGCCGAACGCCCGCATATAGCTACACACATCAATTTGCTACGCCGTGCTAATCGACCTCGAATGGAAATCTGGTCAAGGAACCCTGGCCCTCTCAAAATACATCCAAAACTCCAACGAGTGTCCGAGAACCTAATAACCGTGTGGCACATCATGGCAGGTCGAATGCTTGTTTGGATCGTCCATTGCAGCGCGGATCTTTCGATGTCGGCCGATTCCAAACAACCCGCAACGTTACGCCGCGTCAGCGCGGCGGGAAACCTGCCATCGACGCTTCTGCTTGCTTGCACGCTGACCACCCACGCAAAGTCGCGCCCTGCCCTTCAGGCAATCCCAACTGGCCCTCGAACGATCACCTCCGTGGTGCTGAGCCATCCTGATATTGCCCCTCCCTTTTACCAGGATACAACAGTGGTAAAACCATGATAGCACCAGTCCCAAGGTGGACCCATGGATGAGCAATGCTGAAACTGTATCGCTACATCGGCGCATCGCTGGCGCTGTGGCGGGTCTTGCCGGACACATCTTCGTAGAACCATCACGACAGAAACGTTACAACGTTACAACAAACCCAACAAACAAGTACTGCCCAACGCCTACTCGATTTCCCTTATTAAACGTGGAGGGGGGGGAAACGTCGCGGGGGGTGTCACGCCGGCGAAAATGATCGCAAGGCCTAATCTTCGCGCCGGCGAAAAATACGTCGACCAAAGGCCGGCGAAACATTATGCACCATTTCAGAGTCGCCAATGATGATGTTGATGATGAAGATGATGGTGTTGGTGATTACGACGCTGATGGTAAAGACGATTACTTACACGATCGTGAGGACGACGAACATATGATGATAAAGGATTTGCCAGCTGTGGATGGACCATTTTACTGCGACGACGATAACGAAGATGGTGATGATGATGATGATGATGATGATGATGATGATGATGGTGATGGTGATGGTGATGGTGGCAATGACAATGAATTCGATGGTACGGAACCAGAACGCCCATGAATGGGAGGACCCCAGAACGCCCCTGAATGGGAGGTACCATGGTGCCCTCAAGATCACCGCAAACCCCCATGACATAGACTCGGCGCCACAATGATACATGAACGTGATGGGCTCCAGGCCGCTTGCGGCAAGATGTACGGCGTACCATTGTACACAAGCGCAGTGCATATTCCATGTACTTATGCAAACGGCATGTACACGTGTATCAAACGCATGACGCATTTCTCAAATTACATCCGCAAGACATGGCGTGAATATGCTGATCAAAACGTGTGATAGTTTCCTTGACGGACGGATATGAAGAAACGCGGGAAATGTGCAATGCGTGAGCGCGGTTGCTGCAAAGAGCATGAACGTGTACATGATGCACATACCAATAACCGTAAAACTTGCGAACAATATGTGTTCACAAGCGCCGGCGAACAAATAGCCGTCATCTCGCAAGGGCCGACGGCAAATATTCATCGGAGACCAACGTCGGCGATAATTATATTGGTGCACAAAAATTTCGCGCTGTGAAAAGTACACCACCCACGTTTAATAACGGACATAGACTTAGAATGACAGCCAAGCCATGCCGTAAAACAAGTCAAACGTTGTACCCATAAAAGCGGAACATCGAAACGGACTCGCCTCGCCGAAGACAAGGGTAACAATCAGCACCTCATTTAGCGACCAGAAAAAAGGGGGAAGACGAGAAGGAGGCGTATGGTGCGGCGGAAATGCCAAGCAAAGAGACGATGAGGGCGAGGTCGAAGAGAGGAGCATGAGGAAGAGGACGACCATTGACCATGTACCCTCATCAATGGCGGCCCGCGCCATGGGGGAAGGGGAGCGAGGGGAGGATGCCATCAAAGAGGACAGGGGAGCTTTCGAGAAGAGACCTGAGGATTCCACCGCGGGGCAGAGCTTATGAAGGGGCAGCGCCTGCCCTGAAGTGCCAGCCCCCTCGCTCTGCTTCAACGAAGCAGGGCGCGGGGACCGACCCTCGCATTGCGGGACCTGTCGCTAGCCCGCCTGCCTTATCCATATTTCCACTTCCCCGACTCATCTGCCTCGCCGCCAGTTCGGACAAGGAGGAACGAGGAAGGACGAGAGGAGAGCGAGGAATCTGAATCCCTCCACCTTCTGCTCCTATGAGAAAATCTTGCACTAACATTCACTTTCGGAGATCCGCGCGAAGTTCTTGAATCGGCGCCGCCCCTGGCGCTCTCCGCGGGCCCGCGACGGAGTCCAACGCCGATTCAAGAACTCCACGCGGACCTCCGAACGTTTCTGTCCCGTCGAGCTCGTCCTCGTGGAGGCGGTGGGTTGTTCTGGAATGTATGCTTGGAATGTATGCTGGTAACGCCCGACATCTCTCACCGTGTGTAAACATGTGTAGGTGGAATCGGACATTTAACATGGGGGGACGGGTACTGAGGGAAACAAGTCCTGGACCCTGGGGCCTTCTTCATCCCGATTCGCCATCTGAGACACCCGGGAGGGCCTCGAGAATCCGAAAAGGGCGAGAATTCTCAGGACCCGCTTCCCGCAGGGCCCGTGCCCCCCATGGCGAGGAGTGTGCCCCCCACGGCGAGGAGCGCATCGCCAGCGGAGACCCACTGGGTGGGGGGTGTCGTCGGGACCCTGCCTCCCACTGGTTGTCACGGCGCTTCTGTGGGCAGGGCCCGCGCGGCCGTCCGGGAGCCCGAAGGGGCCGCGCCAAGGCCGCCGAGGCCAGAAAGGTCATCCGTCGCCGACCTGTGGTGGTGGCTCCGCTGCCGCACATCACAAAATGGAGGGATGAAAAAACTACCCTACCCTGGGTCACAAGTGCGTGGTCTGTAAACCTCCTGGGAACCCCCAAAGCCTAGAGAGCCGCCAGGGCGCCCAAAGCCTGGAGAGCCGTCAGGGCGCCGCACATCACGCAGGGTTTACCCTGACAGCCCACAGGAGTTTCAGCGCACAGCGCCTCGTAAGCCAGATCAGGGGCGTGTCTTATGCCCTTGACAAAAGCATGCAGGGTGCAGCAGGCGTGCTACAGTCGTGGCGCTGCCAGAGGGAGCGCTCGGTAAGGAAAACGAGGGGGCCTTCCTCGGCCACGGCGAGCCTCGGCCGCGCTCGGGCCCCATCCCCAGCGGCGTGGCCTGGGCCCCACTGGCCGATGTACTCCCCCCAGGTGGGGATATAGGCCGTTCCCTTCGGGTTTCGAAGGGTGTATCCCCAACTGGGGTGGTACTGTTTCGTTGGGGTCTCGAAGGGGACGGGGACAGGGACGGGGATTGGTGAAATGATACCGTAATTGAGCGCCTCGACTGTGCCATGGGAAAACGCAAAACTCGGAGCAACAGCACTGCTCTTCACGAGCAAGTTCCCCGAGCTGGATGTCAGGAACGGTCCAACAACCAGAGCCCCATCCTGCACCCAACGTGGTCCTCACTTCCGCGTCTTGACGCCAAGGGTGCCACTCCCTTCGGCCTCCAGGAGCCGTGGGGATAGCCTCAGGGGCTGGCCATCGAAGCGAGCTGAGGATGATCCGAAATGAAGCTGTGTCTTTTGTCTTAGGCTCGGGCACCCGTACTTGCATGGCGTTTCCCCTCCTCCGCCGCCATTTCAAGCAACGCTGGGCCGCAATGTCGTGCGAGTGTGTCCCGACACGCGTGAAGTCCAGATCTTCGCTCGGACATCGCCCCCGCCCCTCACCATTCATGCAAGTAAACTTGCTGCGATCGGGGTGTAAAGATCGAAGAGGCCCAGAGACACAAACACACACACGCACACACGCACACACACACACACACACACACGCATACGCACACACACACACACACACACTCACCCGCACACACGCACACACAACACCACACAACCACACAAGCACAAAAACCAAACACACGCACACACACACGCATACACACATACATGGACACACATGCCAGTACTTCCCATATGATTCCATATTGCATGCGTGCTCGTCTTCCCCCTCCATTTCCCATGTGATGTATATTTTCGTGAGTGTGGACCATTACGTGTCTTCGTTTCCATTCTGAAACAATACTACACCAGAGAAAAACCCCAATCAGTGGATGGTTTGATGAGATCGATGGTGAGATCGATGGAGTGAGATGAATAAGAAGATCGATCACGAGATCGATCATGCATCGTGGGATCGATGAAAAAATAGATAAAGAGATCGACCGGGAACACGGGAGCCCCGAACAAAAAACCAGGGAACCCAGCCTGCTACCAAAATCGGCGGGAACGTTCGCCAAATCCTTCAACTTCCGTTAGGACCCCTTCAATGCAAACACTAACTGGGAAAAAAACAACGCCTCGAAAACACGGAAGCAATGGCCTCCTGGAAAAAGTAACTGACCCAGACTTGGGGCGTATAAGAACATGGCCAAACTTGGTTTAGGGAGGAAGATGGAGCCCGACTCCATGACTCGTCTCACATGTACGGGCTCTTACCAGAAGTTAGAAAACGCAAAGTGGGCGACGCGGTTGCCATATCCAGACCCCGCCACCAAACCATTCGGAGAAAGCTGGTTAAGACGCCGCCGACGAAGAAGCAGGAGGGAACGTGGGAGAACGACGGAGAGAAACGAAAGGAGAGCACAACAACAACGCATTCGCAAACATAATCTTTCGGAACTCCGTGCGGATGTTCCAGGTCGGCGCTGGATCCCCCCTCCCCTGGCGAGTGGAGCGCGTCTGGGGCGGCACCAGTGGCATCAACAGTGGAAACCAGGGCCGATCCTGGAAACCCGCTCTGACCTCCGAAATCGTGCATATATATATATGTATATATACATACACATGTATGTTTAAGCAACGTTGGATTCGATGATCGTGGGCTGCGACTGTAGCAGAACACGACGCCACTCGCGGAAGCTTTCGGTCGTCCCCGAGAGCGCGCCCAATAGCGTGCCCAACGCGCGCAACGCGGCCATAATGCATCTTCGTCACGTGGCGGTCTTGGGCCATTGGGCGATATAGTCTATTAGTCGGCGTTGAGCGCTAAATGAGCGCTATATACGGTGATATTCGCCGAACTACATCAAATCCAAAACGATCGGAAGCTTCCGTGATGTACTATCTCACCATGGTGTCCACCTGACCCCACCCGTGAGCGACGACGGTGTCCACTATATATGTACTAGAACCACGCGCGCGCTTCGCGCGCGCTTAGGTTCTAGTCACACTTGCGCCCACTCTTAGCATTGGCAATGCCGCCACGGCTACGACTTCTTTTTGCGCCATCACCGTGTTCACGATCACTTCCGATTCCATGTCCATTCTGGGCATGACCACCTGTTTCACGACGATTGCACTTTCCGCGACCATTGTAACGGCCATGCGTTCAATCTCCGTCTGTACCACCACCAATACCACGACCATTGCCACTGCCACTGCCGCTGCCGCGACCACCACGACCACCATCATCACCACCACGGCCAGTGCCACCGCGTCTACCATCGTAATCATCAGTAGCACCACAATCGGCGCACGAACTGCAGTCATCTCCACCTGGACCCCATCCGGGGCTGTCCTGGGTGAGGAGAGAAAGGTCAGCACGCCCGCCCCGGGGTCGGGTTACCACCATCCTTTTTTGGTGGGCCCGGGGCTGGTTCAGGGGCACCGGTGGCCGAGAACGGCCTCAGGAAGCGAAGAGTTGCCCAGGGTTTCCAAGATTTTGGCCTCGTGAGGCCATCTCGGAACGCCTCTCGAAGCTCTCTGGGGGGGTTCTTGGAGGCCTCTGCTGGGATGACCGTGGGGGTTTCCAACTGGGTGGGGAGGTTACAAGTTGATGCCAAGGTGGGTTATACCTGGCCCAACCTGGCTTACAAGTGGGTTACAAGCGCCTCGGATAGCTTAGGGGGGGATAGATAACTCTGCCAAGTGGCCGGCGCCCACTTAGCCCGGATCGTAACCCCCCCCAAGCTACTTAAGGCACTTATAACCCACTTTTATAAGCCAGGTTGGGCCAGATATAACCCACCTTGGCATCCACGTGTAACCCCCCTATCCACTTAGAACCCCCCACGGTCATCCCTGTGGGGCTGCTTGGGGGCCTCCTGGGCGCCTCTTGGGGCTCCTGGGAGCTTCTTGGGGCCGACGGCCCGAAAAGTCCATTCGGATCTGCCCGTCTTGGGGGGCCTTTTGGGCCGTCTTGGGCGGCTCTTGGGCCGTCTTGGGGCCCGCGGGGGGGCCTCCTGCGCCGTCTAGAGGCTCTCTTGGGCCGTCATGAGGCTCCATTGGGGTCCTGTTGGGCCATCTTGGGGCTCCTGTGGGAACCTCCAGGTCCGTCTTGGAGCGTCGGAAAGCTGGAAAAGCGAGAAAGCAAAAAACATAGAAGAAACCAGTGACAATCAACGATTTTGGCCTGGTGAGGCCATCTTGGAACGCCTTGGGGAGCTCTGTTGGGGCCGTTTCAGAGTCTATAGGGCGGTATGTTTGCCGTCTTGGGCCCATCTTTGGCCACGTTGGGGCCATCCAACCTTTCCTGGGGAGGCTTTGGGAGGCTCCCCAGGGACTTCTGGGAGCGTCCTGGGCCTCTCTGGGGCGGTCTGGCGCCTCCAGGGGCGTCCCGGGAGCGCCCCAAGAGCCCCGGAACCCCCATGCGCACCCGAGGTCGCGGTCCTGGGCGCCCCGGTCTCGTGCACGGGGATCTATATATATATATAATATATATATAATATATAAAATATTATATCATAGTATAATATAATATAATAAACTATAATATAATATAACATAATATAATATATTATAATATGGTTTAATATGATATGATACATTATACTATAATATAATACCAGAAATAATATATCATATAATATGATTTGGTATACTATAATATAATATAATAGTATATTATATAATATACTATAACATAATGAAATAAAATGTAATATACTATAATATCTTAGACTATTACAAACTATATTTTAATATAACATAATATACTATGATATAATGTAATATAATATACTATGCTATATCATCATATACTATAATACAATATAGTATAATATAAGATAATAAAATACAATATAATACAACATAACATAATAGGCTATAACATTATGTAGACATAAACATATATTTATATATATATATACATTCATGTATGTATAAGCAACGTTGGATTCGATGATCGTGGGTTGCGACCGTAGCAGAAAACGACGCCACTCGCGGAAGCTTTTGGTCGTCCCCGAGAGTGCGCCCAATAGCGTGCCCAACGCGCGTAACGCGGCCATAATGCATCTTCGTCACGTGGCGGTCTTGGGCCATTGGGCGATATAGTCTATTAGTCGGTGTTGAGCGCTACTTGAGCGCTATATACGATGATATTCGCTGACCTACATCAAATCCAAGACGATCGGAAGCTTCCGTGATGTACTACTCACCATGGTGTCCACCTGACCCCACCCCTGAGGGACGACGGCTGGAGAACGAAACCGCCGGCGGGCTCGAACTTGGAGCCCAGCTCCGACAACTTCTGGTGGGCCCTGGCGTACGACTTGAAGAAGGCATCCTTCAGGAGGGCGCCAAATATCCACATGCAATGGAGGGATAGACATGAACGACCAATGAACTCAGAAACGGATTTGGAACTGCGAAGCATCGAACCGTTTCCGAGCACCTCAGTTGGACGACGGGCAGATGCAATACTGAAGGTACCATTGTTGAAGATACGTTGCCAGTGGCTATGCTGAGCTGCGCTGCGCTGTGCCGCAGGGTGACGTGGCAGGGGACGCGCCAGGGGACGTGCCAAGGGACGCACCACGGGACATGCCAGGGGGACGCGCCGCGGAGCGTCCCACGGGACAAGCCGAGGGACGTGCCACGGGACGTGCCGCGGGACGTGCCAGTCGGACGCGACACGGAACGTGCAAGTGCACTGGCCAGGGTACGTGCCAAGGGACGCGCCGCGCCACGTGCCAGGAGGACGCGCCACAGGACGCACCGCGCAACGTGCCAGGGGGACGCGCCACGGAACTTGCCAGTGGACATGCCAGGGGAAGTGCCAAGGGATGCGCCGCGCGACGTGTTAGGCTAACGCACCACGGAACGTGCCATGAAACGTGCCCGATGGCCACGATCCCTAGTAAATAACTCTGCGTCCGCGTTCCCAGGGCAACCGCCACAGTAAATTATGTTGCGTCCGAGCTCCCAGGGCCACGATCCCTCGTAAAGTACGCTGCCTCTGAGCTCCCAGGGCCACGATCTGTTGTAAATTACGTTGCGTCCACGCTACCCTTTTGGGGCCCTGGAGGGGCCTTATCGTACCTCTATTCTGCAGCCCTCGCTGCCCCTTCATTGATCCCCCCAAATACGCGACGCCTAGGTACCTAGGTGGAAACTTGACATCCCACGATCCTTGGACTCCGCGAACTTATCGAAAAACGGCTTGAAGCCCGGGTCCTGGCTGGCGGCGAAAGGAAGAGGCCAACTCGACAGGCCCACCCTTCGAAGAACAAAGCCTGCTTCGACGAGACCCTCCAGAAAGATCTGAAGGCTTCTCATAAACCGATCCGGAAAATACACATATTTTGTCACAAGGGTGAGCACCTGCACTCGGCCCCACTTGCCCCCCGTGGCCGACCTGGTGGAGGGCAGCGTCAGTAGGGAAGCAGATGAGCTCCTGGTCCTGGGCGCTTCTCACATGAATAAAATAGGAATTGTCGAATGTCAGCCTGGGAAAACCAAAAGGAACTTATACCGCTACTCCACGCTCTCGGGGTGCATCCTGACCAGGATTCCGAAGCGAATCCAGCCGTCGCGACGACGGCCTCACAGGAGGCCAAAGACGAAGACGAAAATGAGGCAAGGGTAGTGGTATCGGTACCGTTTCTCGGCGGCGAGCGAGGGGGGGAAGTGACGGCGCTGCACTCCTCAGGAGCCCCCTGACCTTCCGAGAAAAGTCTTCTGTGTCTTCAGGGAAATACCAGCAAACATCTCAGCGCAAGGCCGGGGGGCTTCCGAGAATTCTGAGAAGGCCCGCCCCTTTCTGACTTCCCCCACGGGCTCGCCGCCGATCTTCCTCCTCTAACAGCCAGTTCGGCGTCCACGACTTCCCGCCGCTCATGCCGACGCCCGGCGCCGCGTCGTGACGCACCGGGCATCCGCTGCCCGTGTACTTCGAGGCCGTCGCGTCGCCGTAGCCGTTCTCCACGGTCCCGCTGCGCTCCTTGAAGGCACGGCCAATGGTGTGCGCACCTGAGGGGCAACGTCAGGGGGAGCCTCGAATCGAAGTCTTGGACTTCCAACCTCGAACTGTGAGGCTCGAGGCTTTCGGGGCCTCTTGGGTGGGTCTCGTCGCCAGGGCTGGACTCGCCCCCAGATTCAAGCCCGAATGCACCCCAGGAGAGGTTGAGGGGCAGATGCTTGACCCGCGAGCCCAAGACCCCTCGCGTCTCGGCCGTCAAACGGCGTCTCGTGGTGAAAACACGGTCCCCCGGAATGGGTCCAGACCCCTGGGGGTCGCCGACGTGAAAGAATCATGACCAGGATCTGGGGATCAGGAAGTTTAGGACCTCGGGGGGAGGAGGAGGAGGAGGAGGAGGAGGAGGAGGAGGAGGAGGAGGAGGAGGAGGAGGAGGAGGAGGAGGAGGAGGAGGAGGAGGAGGGAGGAGGAGGAGGAGGAGGAGGAGGAGGAGGAGGAGGAGGAGGAGGAGGAGGAGGAGGAGGAGGAGAGGAGGAGGAGGAGGAGGAGGAGGAGGAGGAGGAGGAGGAGGAGGAGGAGGAGGAGGAGGAGGAGGAGGTTGGGGAGGGGGACGGGCTCAGGGGGGGGAACATCGAGCACGAATCGGCGATGCCTCGCCAAACGACCCGCGATGGAGGCCACCCATGGCGAAGCCGCACGCTCCTGGGGCGGGGTGGGGCTCATCATCGGGCGCGCATCGGCGATCCGGGGGCGGTGAACTTGCCGTGGCTCGGACGTCCGTGTCCCGTGCACTTGTCGGTTTCGTGCGTGTTTTTCTGTTGGCTTGATGGTCCAGGATGGTCTTCGATGGTTCTCGCCGAGAAAAAGTGCACACGTCCGAGCGATGCCGAGTGAAGGGTCGATGCAGTCCCCCCGAGCCAATCCCCGTCCCCGGTGACCCGGCGGTTTTCTGGTCGAATGACTCGGCTCTGCAGCCAGCGGCCGTTCGGAAAGATCCGGCCCCCCCGAGACGCTCTCGACAAGGCGCAGCCGATGGCAGCCACCCCAGACCAAGAACACTTCAGAACACCCTCCTGACACCTCCCCCCTGAGCCCATCCCTCCGAACGCTGCCCCTGCGCACCGCTGAGGGCGACGATGCCCTCATCGTCGAAGCCCATTCGGTTGAAGATGTTCCTCAGATGCGTCGCGGCGTCCGCGGCCCCGCACCCGAACGGGGGCAGGGCGTCGGGGAGGCCCGCGTTGTCGCCCGTGCCGCGCGAGGTCCTGACCGGGGCCGCGTGGAGGCTGGCGAGGAGGGGGAAAGGCGTCCTGAGTGGTCAGGGCTCGGATCGCGCTTACCTTGCCATCGCTCGTCCATCCCTCGCGCATGCTTCTGGTATCGTGCGTGTTTTTGATGTTTCGCTGGATGATCCAAGATGCTCCCAGATGGGCCAGATGTTCTGGCGCTGGCCTCGCTGAAAGAAACACACATGTCAAAGGCCTCCCAGATGGGGCCCAAGTGGTCGGGGGGTCGCCCTCCCTGGCGCGGAGAGCACCAGGGGCGGCGCTGGAGGCGCGGAGGCACTTTCCGGGGAGTCCAGCCGATCCAAGAGAACCGCGAGGAACTCCAAAAGTTTTTCATCCTCTCCCTACCCCACGTGGGTCCTTCCAGGGCATGCGCTGCCGTCCATTGCGTCCACGCGGCCGTACCTCATGGGGATGACAGGCCCGCCAGTCGCCTGGGCCAGCAAGGGGGCAAGAGAGGAGCAGAAGGCATAGTAACCCTAACAGCAGAGCCACTGGTGCTCGTGCTGGTAAAGCGGCAGCGATAACGGCAGTGACGTGAGCTGTGGTCACACTACCTACTGCTGCTGCAACAGATACAGGTCCACCCATATCATAAGGGTGCGCAGGTAGGATGCAAGGGCCTTGGACGGCCCTGTGAACGTTTATCGAACGAGATCGTCCAGCGAAAGTCGCTCAAGATGGGCCGAAGGGGCAAGCATGCACTCCCCGTCGCTCGGACGTCCATTCCCTGTGCTCTTTTCGGTTTCGTGCGTTTTTTTTTCCGCAGGATAGATAATCCAGGATGCTCCTTAATGATCCCCGCGGAGAAAAGTGTACCCGTCCGAGCGAGACCAAGTGCAAGGGCAGCCTATGCGGGCTGACTGCAGCTGCAACGGTGCAGGCTGTGATCACAGTGCGACTGCGGCTGCAAGACGCAGCACCTGTCACGCAGGCACGTGCACCAGCACTCTGAAGGGGCCCACAAACATGCAAAGAAACACACACACACACACATACACACACACACACACTCCAGGATCCCCCACATTTGTCCCATATGTTCTGGGCTTCTGTCTTCCCCCCCCACCTCCCATATGCTCGCACATGTTCCCGGGAATCGACGATTCCTTGTGCCTGTGTGCTTCTTTCCCTCCCGATGCTTGCCCGGGCACGCTGCCAGCTCTGCCGCAGACCGCAGCTCTGCCGCAGACCGCAGACCGGAGAAGGCCTTCCGCAGAAGGCGGCGGAGCTTCTCAAGCAGGCCTCCGGCCATCTGAGAAGTTTGCTTCGTCTTCGGGGCAGGCGTAGAAAACTTCTCAGATGGCTGGTGGACTTCCGAACCTTCTGAGAAGGCCCGCCCCTTCTCACTTCCCCCCCTCGCTCGCCGCCGCTCCCGGCGGTAGCACGGTGACTGTCAAAGAAAGGTGTCCTGGCGAGGCCCAACTCGATTCGGTCGATCCGACTCGCTACCGATCTCGCCCGGTTCGACCCGATTCCATTTCGATCTTCGGGAGGCCGAGCAGATGGGGTCGGAGGATCGCGACGCATCGCCGATGCATCAGCGATGCATCGGCGATGCATCGGCGATACATCGACGACGTCGGCGATGCATCGGCGCCGTTGGCTTGGAGAACATCGGGCTCCGCATCGACCCGCATCGCCGATCTTCCGACGTCATACACTCGGATCCCATCCGAGAGGGCCAAGATCTCTCGCCAGGTGGTAAAAACATCTCTGGCGGCGCGCACCACTGGCTAGAGGTAGGGGGAAGGCTTCTTAGAGGAAGACCGCTTCTTAGAAAGCGCCGGCCCTACATATATAGACAAGGCCCGCGACATCTAAGAAGCAGGATGCTTCTGAGAAGCCTTCCCCCATGCCCCTAGCACCTTTGCGCGTGTTGTTTTGTTTCGTTGTTTGCTTATTAGTATTATGTTTGTTGTTATTACTCTTCTTTTTTCCCTCGCCCCTTTGCGCGTGACCGACTCTGTGGGTACGCCAAGTCTTTGGACGATCTCCTGCTCGAGCCTGGACCCCCTGCGGGGCCCAACCCCTGGAGGAGAGCTCCTCGCCTGGACGGGGGCTTCTCTGCCTGGGCGGCCCCGCGGAGCCCCTCCCCCCCTCCCTGCCGCGAGGCGCGCACGTGGGCCGCGGGCGCGCCTCCACGGCGCAGGCGGAGGCCATCTGGATCAAATCCGCCCACCCCACCTCGGGGTACTTGGCCTCGGGGCGGCGGGGGAGAGGAGATAGAGGCCTCCTAGATGGGGTCGGAGTTGATGGGGTCGGAGGATCGCGCCGCATCGCCGATACATCGCCGATGCATCGGCGATGCATCGGCGACATCGACGATGCATCGGCGACGCCAGCGCGAAGAAACACGGGCTCCACATCGAGCCGCATCGTCGATGCATCGGCGATGCGGCGCGATCCTCCGACCTCAGCTACTCGGACCCCATCTAGGGGGCCTAGAGGAGAGCTCTCGGGCAAGGACGACGACTGCCCAGGACGAAAAACGGGTCCCGGGGAATGGGTCGAGACTTCCACGGAGGTCCACGCTGCGAAAAAAATAGCACAACGCGGGTCTGGAGTTGAGGCTCGGGGGGGAGAGCATCGAGCTTGGATCGGCGATGCAGCGCTGATAGCTCGGCGATGAGCCCCGAAAGCGAATCCGCACGTTCCTGGGTGGGGTGGGGCCACGGGCCCCGATGGGCGATCCATGGGCGGTTGGGGGTCGATGCCCCCCCCCCCACCCTGAACCTATCCCCCCTTTCCGTGGTCCCGGACCCCCCCACGGAAGGCCTGCCGCAAGCCTTCCAATGTGTTGGGAGGCAACTCCTGGGATGTCTTCGTCAGAACGAGTTTTGTCTACCTGAATACAATTGAAGTGCAAGATTGAGCCGAATGAAGCCTGGAACTAGACCAGAGCAAGCGGGATGAATCCGAATTAAGCGGAATACAACCGAACTAAACGGGATCAGGCCAGCGACACACCAGCGCCGATTCTGACTCTAATCTCCTAGGAGTGGCATCGGGGTCGTCTCAGGAGGATGGGTGCGCATCAAGGCCCGATGCATGTGTGCGGACGAGGAAGGGACGGATGGAAATGAGAAGAGCGGGGCCTGACATCCAGGGAGATGCCATGCCCCCGCCATGATATCCACCTCCCTTGTCATCAACGCCCCTCTTGGGCGTTCCCGATACAGAGAGACCTCCTGGGAGGTGACGTGGTGATTCAGCCAAGATCGGCGGGACCAAGGGGCGCTTGGGCTGACTCGAGCCGCGTTGGACCAACGACAGCACGGGATTGGACCCGATTTGCACCGATGCGTCCACTCCTCCGACGGCGCATTCTTTTCGGCGCGTGGGCCCCTGGGGATCTCTCGATCGCATCCTGGGGACCGGCAGTGCCTCATCCTGTGCTGTACTACGATGGTTCCAGCGCAAGGAGAAGGGCCTCCCGATGCTGATCTCATGTGAGTATCCTGTCGAAAGATCAAACCTTACAAGGCAGTGCTACCTCAAGGCAGGTGGGACTAAGGGAGGGACGAACAGAAGGACGTGAGTGCAGCAAACGAGGAGGAGGAGGACGGGGCCGATGACGCACTACAGCACTTCGCCCCGGCGGCGGCGAAGCTCCCTTTGTGGCACGAGTCTCGAGACGGATGTGCCGGGATGGGCCGTGGGGCCGCCATGGGAGTCTCCTTCCGCTGGGGCCATGGGTGAAACTTCCTACAGTGAAACATTATCGTGCGGGGTGTGCCTGAGAATGGCTGAGTTTTTGTGTGAGCGCGCCTGAGCATGACGGATTCTGAGTCTACGAGTGAGGGTGAGCATGGGTGATTTTTCGGTTCGGCTGAGTATGAGAATGGGTCTGAGCATGAGTCTGATTCTCTGAGTACGACTGGGCCTGAGCATGACCGAGTCTCAGTACCAGGGGCCCTGAGTGTCTGAATATAATGAAATTGTGTGGGAAAAACCAAATATGAGTGGGCCTGGGCATACACTGGGAAGAGATGTCGGGAGTGAGGGTGAGGCGGGGAAAGGTGAGAACCCCGCATACATGATACGGGGAAGAATCAGGGCAACAATCGCTTCTGTCGAACAATGCGCGGGCTCAGCCGAAACGAATCAGTGCTGGGCCAAAGCTCGGGTCTTGTTAGAAATGGTCCTGGCCCCAAGTGTCTCCAACTGTTCGCGCCTCTTTGGCGCTCCTGGGGCACGCTGGGCTTCGTGACACGAAATCCGGGGTACATCTTGGGCCAAGGGCACCTTTGGTGGAGGCCTCCGAGATGGGGTCGGAGTAGATGGTGTCGGAGGATCGCGGCGCATGAGCAACGCATCACCGATGCAGTCGCGACGTCGGCGCTGCATCGACGCCGTCGGCGTGAAGAGAATCGGGCTCCACATCGCGCCGCATCGCCGATGCATCGGCGCTGCGGCGCGATCCACCGACCCCATCTGCTCCCGCCCCAGCTGGGAGGCCCCGGACCTCGGGCCCATGGCACCCCTGGCAGCACCCAGACCTCGACTCGAGGCCCTCGCCCCCCCTTGGCCCCGAGCCCGCGTCGACGGGGTGCCGCGTCCTCGCCTCCTGGCGGCCCTGGCGTTGGTTCCCGACACACCGTCGCCGACTCGGCGATCGGCGGCCTCTCCATCGCTTGAGCAAGGACCGACCGTCCCGGCATTCCTATGGTGCTACCGCGAAATGTTCTTAGAGCCCAAACACGTTCTAAGAACAAAAACACTGCTCTTAGAACGTGAACCCGATGCGGGAAAACAAGACGGTCTCAACCAGAAATGTTCTAAGAACATTTCGTGGAAACCACAACCACAAGAGAGGTTCTTAGACAATTGCTTGGTAGGGCTATAGGCGAGCCAGGACGCTTCGCCACTCCTGGAATCGCCAGACCGCTCAAGATGTCGGCCGCCTCTGGGCCACCAGCGGCGTTCCAGCAAGGGCGCCCGCGGCGGGGCCGCCGCTGCGCCGACCCTGGGGATGCAGTCGGAGTGTTGACCTAAGGAACCCTAAGTAAGGAACGAGGCCTCTGCTTCCAAGTTAAACTTCAATTTCCCATGGATTTTTTAGGAACACCTGAGGCAAACTGTGAAACAGTCGAGGAACCGCGAGCCCCTCCCCAAAACGAAAAGGGCTCCTTCTTCAACGCCCCGACTGTACGAGAAGGAACCGATACCGCCACGATCCTTGGACCTCTCCAAGAGTGCTTTCGGACTGGAGCTTCGAAGCGAACCCAGCGGCGGCGACGAGGGCCTCCGAGGAGGCCCAAACAGGGAAACACGGGGGAAGGGTAGCCGTTATGGGCACCGCTTCCTCCTCTGAACCGGCGGCGTTCAACCAGGGGTCGCCGCGCGTCGACACTGCACAAACCTATGAGAAGCCACGGTAGGGGGGGGGATAGGCATGCGGGTGGATGCATCGACCCCGAATGGCCGATACATCGCCCATGCATCGTCGATACGTCATCGGTGCAGGGAACGTCCCGTGCATCTTATCTGCATTGTCAATACATCGTCGATAGATCGTCGATGCATCGTCGATGTATCAACTACTCGAGGTCGATGCACCCCCCCTTAATCATTGCCGCCGAACCTGCTGCAGGGCGGCGAGGCGAGGAGGAGCAGGAGGAGGAGGACGATGGCGACGATGAGCACGACGAAGACGACGAGCACGCGTCGACGACGGCGCCCGCGCGTGCGCCGCGCCGAGACCTCCAACGTCCAGCCTCGAGACCTCCCAGGCGCGGGGCCCTTCCCACGGCCGTGCTTCGACCAGGGCTGGACCTAAACGTTGCTTTTCGTTGAATGTTCGTGTTGTTGCTGGTTTTGCTCTACCTGTTTTCTGTAGCTCCCTGCAAAAACGAGAAACAAAACACATCCGAAGTCAAGCAACACAGCGTTTATGTCCAGCCCTGGCTTCGACGCGGGCGACGATAAAAAAAGGCGTCTTGCGCGAGATGGCGTAGCGATCTTACGCGGTGTCTAACGCAGGCCGCCCGCGCGGCACGCAACATTTGAAGCAAGGGCGCTTACGCGCGACCTTACGCGGGCAGCTTACGCGCCACTGTCGGCGCAGACGAGCCCGTATTCTTGCGTCGCTCACATTGATTCTGTCGCGGGCCCGAGTTGACGGATCCTCTCGTCTTGGCGAACGCGGTATTGGAGCTGAAGTGGCGATTGCTCCCGTCTTCGGGACCGACATCTTGGGGCCGTATACGTCTCTGTCGTCTTGGCGAACGGAGTGTCCGGGCCGAGATGGCGACCGGTGTGGGAACTTCTCCAGACCTGAGCCGTCTCAACCACTGCGCTGGACTCCGCTTCGACATCCATTACGTCCATTCGAGCCTGGCCACGAGAGCGGAGGCCGACAGACGCCAAAGTCCTGCGCGTTCGCTTGTGCCCCACCCGACGGGTCGGGGCTGTCCGACTGGAGGAGGAGAGGTCCCGACACGCCTCACACACCCTGCAAAACCGCGGCCGCCAGGCCCAGAGAGTGCCGGTGCTCCCTATCCTGCCTCGTGTCTTCGACGAAAGGGACTCGCTCGAAGCAAAGCACCTGCCCCGAAGACGTTGGACGTCGGGGCACGCCCGCGAACGAACGCGCGGCGCTCGCCTTGAACTGCTCCAGGAACTTCACGGCCTTGGAGAGCCTCCGCGCCGCCGCGCCAAGGGTGGGGGCAACGCTGAGGGGGGGACCAGCTCAAGGCGTGGAGCATCGGCCTAGAATCGGCGCTACATCGTCGCCGATGGGTCGGCGACACGCTCTCAATAGCGGCGGACCGCCCGCTCTTGAGCGGGTGGGCTGTCGGCGATTCAAAAAGACGAGAATGGCCTGAAATTCGCGGAAATTTCCTGGCCCCCGCCGCGATATCACCCCCCCAGTCATCACCCCTCTCTCTTGCACGCACCCGAAGACTCGCGCCGCATCCCAGGCCCAGGTGCATCGGCGACGCTGGAATTGAGAGAACCAAACTCCTGATCGCATCGCATCGCATCGCCGATGCATCGATGATTCGAAGCGGACATTCGGGCCGAGCGAAAGGGGGGGATAGCAAAGGGAGGGTTTGAGAATCAGCTCACGTAGCTGATTTCCCTGGCGCCTCCCGGAGCTCGGAGGCGCCCATGTATCGAGGAATGGGCCCGGCGGCGGG